TCGTTCAGGACTTTGGACAGCGGTTGCTCTAAACTTGGAGGCGAAATCGTTGAAAAGAAAAAGCCAGGCGCAACATAAAACTCTTAGAGCTGGTCGAGCATTCGAATTGTGTAGTGATTGTCAAACAACAAATAGCTCTGTAATTCGGGAGAACCTAGTTAACGCGGACGTGCGAAGTGCATGGGCTACTTGGATGACTGACCGCTAATTCCAAAAATGAGTTCAATGGGCGTTACAGACGGCGAAAGCAATGGAAATCTGAATTATGTGGGGAGGAAAAAAAAACAAACGAGTGGCAGAACCGGACAGTGGTCTCAGGTCACTGTCCTAGTCTCAGTGAAGTACCTTATCCATAGTCAATACTGAAGCTGGAGTCGACACCGCCAAGTTACTTTCAGCTTTCAGAAATAGTCAGTTAGAAATTCGTTGCCCTCCCCCCACCCGCCCAAAACTGACTTAAGACTGGCGCCATGCCGGCCGCAGCCTGCGAGGCCATTTGCTGATGGGGAGTCTTCTCCGGGGTATAAAGAAAAGCACGTTGTCGTGCAAATGCCAGGCAGTGGGTACTGGCGCCCAGACCCTAGGCTCTCGCGCTGATACTTTTTAAACAGCAGCAGTAGGAGGAAGAGGCCTAGAAACACAAAAAGCACACACAAAACAACAAAAGCCAGCAGCAGCAGCAGTCGTGAAAGCAGAGGAGGAGGTGCCTGTAGAGTGTAACAACGTCTTACCAGAGAGTTTCCTGACCTCGGGCTTGTAGGACATGGAGGGCCAGGAGAGCCACTGCTGAAGACGAATAATCTCCTCGTTATTGGACTCCCACGGCAGTTCTGTAAAGACAAAAGCAAAAGGACAGCTGCATAAGCAAAAAATCGAATGAGGGCAGCTTAGTAGTGATCATGCATGCCTTTTGACAAGCCTAGTAACCAGGATGAACACTTTCTTGTGTGTATGTGTAAGAGAGAGAGAGAGACGCACTGGATTTTGAAAATATAATTCCAAAATTCCAGCAAAAACGTCCTTCTATTCACTGTGAATAAAATTAGGCACGCAAAGCACACACACACCGCCGGGAGATCAAAAACAATGCATAATGGCCGAACACTGCAACTGCCAACATCATGGCCGTGAATTCTTGGGGGCAATGCACTCAGATGAAGCATGCGTCAACAGGCACATCGAGCTGGACGCGAGCTATAATTTTCTGAAGGCCAAAGTTCAACGCGCGCGGCCAACCACGGCAGGATGACAAAATGCATGCAACACCTATTGGCGCGGGCTGTAGCTAATTGCAGTATAATTTGTTAGACACGGTTAATGAAGTTAACTGTTCTTGTACACATCCCATAGTCCGACGACGAGCTGGGGAACCAGCTTCGAAAATTCACGGATTCAAGATTTCCAAAGAAGCCTTTCTCTTCTCAAGATGTATATATATACATAAGAAATTTACAGGCGAATGGACAACAGAAAAAAATGGCGGCTCGATTTCAAGAGCCCGCACGATGTTTCTGGCAGTAGAAGTTTCTTACATGCCCCTCCCCCCTTCGCACGGCACGAAATGCGAACAGCAATCACTCATAATGCAGCTGGCTTTGCGCTAAATTCCAGAAAAATTATGATTAGGGTTGCGTTTTAGGTTTGGCTTATGAGGAGAGAATAGGTATCACTTCGGGGGTTTAACGCAGGGTAACCTGTGTTAAGTGTATGAGCTTTCTCAGTCCCGGGGAGACCACATAAGCGAGTCCGTCCGTTCCCTAGCTGCCAACTGGTACGGTGCTCAAAGTCGAATAAGTCAAAAATGGCTCAAAAGGTAAAGGCAGGGCAAAAAGCACAACCCGGTGGCCTTGCATTAAATTCTACGTAGATGACGCTTAGATTTGATTTAGGGTCAAATTTAGTGGGTGTACGTTTTAGTTAGCAGTAGAAAACGAGGATAGGGACATTTTCAGAAAATTTGCGCAAGGTCGCCTGCATTGTCAGGGCGTCTGCTGTGACTGCATCTGATGACACCGAAGGCCCTCCATTCCCCCAGCCGGCTTTGATTTCCGTTTAAGGCCTGTCAAACGTAAATCTCTCATTGGCTGTCTATCCAACTTTGGAATATTGGAGTCATGTGATATGACCCCTGGACTGCGTGTGGGATGCGGTAAGAGCAATGTGCACCCAATCGTGAAGTCTTCCTCCGTTCAGTTTGGATATCCATTGAATGTGGAAGGGCATTTCTGCTGCAAGCTAACCAACATATATTTAATCCTAGTGTTGACAATACAACTGAATGTTACAAATTGCACCATCTAGAACTAGCCGGGGATGCGGCGCATGTTCGGGCCACAATAAGGCACGCAACAGGACGTTTGTTAAATCAACTAGGTGGAAAATCCTTTTCGCAAGGTCGAGGAGAACCTGCCGCATTTATTGGTCCTGATTAACCCTGGGCATAATTCGTCCTCTCTGTGTTGATTTAAGTCCTTCTTCGATTCCTCTGGGGGCAAGGAGCAGAGCGTTACAGGCAAAGTTCACTTTCAACATAATCTGCGATTTCGAGAAAAAGTTTCAGGGCAAAGGAACTTGCACCGAAAAAGACGGGTCAGGAAAACAACCTTAACTAGACCAACGCCTTCTGGACAACCGGACAAGAGGGCTGGTGTACAAGCAGAGTGCAGAAAGCGACAAAGACTGTAGAGTCAGGTAAACCCTTCCACCTGAATGGAAGTATGACGGACTTTTATGGATACAAAAGAGACTGCAACAACGGTAGGAGGACTAAGAGGAATTGCACTTGACAGACCAAAAGGAGAATTGGAAGAAGTAGAAGCGTCCATGGTCAATATACCCGACAGCAACCGAAAGGACAGGAGTCTGTGGGACAATGAGTAGAGCAGGAAAGATGAGTTTCGTTATCGGTCGGGTGAACGTTCAGCAATGAGTGTCACTATCCCTCGACCTAACCCGGCAATGCAGCGAACTCGTGGCTCGTGGACGTTTGACTTTGATTAAAGAGGTCGCGAGTTCGAGGCTCCGGTGCACACCCCTTGGGTCTGGGTATTACTGGCTGATGACAGCTAGCAAGCCAGAATTGGCCGTTCCAGTCTCCCCTGTCTTTGCGGTAATACTATCTGCGATGGGTGGGATGTTATACTTCAAACCAAAAAGTCACTGGTTCGGGCCACATGGGCTACAATATCCAAGTTTGGGGATGGCTGGCTGATGACAGTTAATAAGCCGGAATTAGCCAAGCCAGTCTCCTGTTCGTCTTTGTCAGTAATGTTCTTCTGCCTACAATATTAGTGGTTGTACGGCTGCTTGCAGGTCTCAAAAGTTAACTCCAGGACTCAGTGGGGCAAGTATGCGCGGTCCGGCGATTGGTAAGCCTCCACCTTTCTAAAAGGCACGCAAAGAGGGAAGCAATTCCAAAACGATCTCACTGAATGATCTCCTCACTACACCAGCATTCCTTACAGCCGGCCGACAATGCATCAACTGTCTTTATCGATAAAGACATATTACTTAGATGGCAGGTAAGTCTACTTAAACGTTAACAATTATAAGCGGACGGATAGAAACCTACTGAAGTGCGGAAATTCGCCCCCCCCCCTCCCACCTACCGCTACTGGAGGTCACAGCGCTCAAGTGCTCCAGTTTCGCACACACGTGCATTTTAATACGCAAAAAGAAAGAAATACGCGCGCGCCCGAGCCCGCGCGCAAAAGGTAG